GATGGCCAATAGTGAGTGCAAGTATGTGAAAAGGGAGTTCGAGTTTGACCGCCACCTCTCGGCCTCCAATAGTCCAACTAGATCATCGTCCGCATTGATGGCTGCCATTTTCACCAGTACAGTTCATTTCTTCCTTCAAAAAGGAAAAAAAGGAGAGAAGTGGTTAAGCAACTTCTTCAATCATTTGGCCATGTCAAAGTTCTTAATATCTTATTCTAGTTCATGTACCAATGTATTTTTGCTTGGGAATTATTGTTTCTTCAGACTATAAATAGTTCGTCTTAGTTGTTTTGTCCAGTGTCCACTAATTTCAGTTCTCTTTTTGTTAGATTCTCGAAGATACACCTCTTCAAGAAAGCAAAGGATAAGAGTGCTTTAAGATTGATGAACGCTTGTGCCAGCTCTATGCTTGAGAAATTTCCTGACATAGTCTTTGCTTATGGTGTTTAGTGATGAGTACAGGTATAACCCGTATAACATCTTCTCATGAAAGTTAAATTATAAAAATGCACACAGATTTTACATCAAAATAATTGTATGCAAATACCATTGTGAATGGAGTAGATAACAATCTAAGTTTCTTACATTTCTATTTGCTCTGCAGTTTTGTTTTCAGAGAGGAAACAGAATTCTATCAAAGATGAGAAAGGTACCTTACTTGATTTGTTCACTTCTTCACTAATTATTTACCATATAATTGTCATAGTCAAAACTATTTTAACCATTCAATTATAAGATCTCATGATATTGACTTCTCTACCAATAGTTGCAGCAAAATTCTTAATTCTAGAAAAACTGAAAAAGAGGCACACCAAGCAATCAATATATGGTTTCTAGAATTTGAGTTGTCTTTTGTAGCATTTGTATGATTGTTTTATCGTGAACCATCTATAATGATTAAACTAACCTTCTCGAAGAATTAGGCTTTTTCTTTATTTCTTAGCGAACGGTGCCCCCACCAGGCATATTGGTGTTTTATGTGTAGTTCCATGCAATTGATTTGAACTTTTGCTTGTTTGATTTTTTTACTGGATCGTTCCCATTTTGAAACTACATGTGCAGATTAGTCATATTATTATTTGGATGGCGTTAATGGGCACACTGGATGTGTTTTGTGTTTGCTGACTCTTATTAAGATAATTAACCATGGACATCTCAAGTAATGGTATCACATGGAACAAGAAAAGTAAAACCACCATACTTCAACATAGGAGATCAGGCAAAATAATGGCGTTGGCGCACAAATAAGGAATTACGCCGTGGAAGCGTAAAGAAGAAGTGATATAACATGAAAGAGGAGGAGACCCACGACTATTTCCTACTCTCATCAATAGACAGACGAGCAAAATTTACAACAACATGGGCTTATCTGATGGCTCAAACAATCCAGCACAAGTATATTCCCCCACATTGATATATTTTATCAAATGATAGGTTGCGCCGGCAAGTCCCATAACCCAAAGGCAACATATACTGCAGCCAAGTCATAAAGTTTGTAGGTAAATTTCAGGAAGAAGGAATTACTGAAAGACAATAGAGGACAAATATTACATAGCCTCCATATCTGGTAAGTAGTACATGGTGGGGTTGAAAGCAGACAATATCCATAGCATCAAGATTCAGCAACAGCACTACCTTCAAAGGATCTGTACAAAAACATAATAAAAAGTGCAACCAAGTGGAATTGCATGTAATCAGAAACAGTAGCACCCATCGAATATCTAACATGCATGCAATTTAATGTATTAGTAAACTTCATACAAAATAAAGGCAAGGTCTTAGAGCTAAATAGAATACCAATTCTGAAATTAGAATCTAGTAGGATGTAAACAAATAAAGTGATTGAATATCAAAAGCATGCATGGACCACAGATAATGAAAAATCAAAATCGGAGGACCAACATGTTCACAAGCTATGGAAAAATGTTCTTCACCAAAAATTTCCTGCATCTTGTTTCCTTTTGTGTTTCGTTCAGAAACCTGCACAATTGTGACAATTATGACATTTAGGAAAATGTTAAGAGAAATAAAAGTGCTGAAGAGACATGGAAGTGCGGCATGCATAATCAAAAGGGGGAGAATGAGAGGAAGGATGAGCTTCACCTGGTACACAAGGACTTCCCTCGCCCACACTACCCCGCTCTTCCCTTGATATGGAGGATCCCTGCCAAAGCAGCTAAGAATAAAAATCATCAAAAAAAGGATATTGTTTCAACAATCACCCAGCTGCAATATGCAAATGGATGCTTTCATGGCCAATAGAGAGATTTCCCAAGTTAGCATCATGCAGCAACTTACAGAACACTGAATCAGGTTGTCCATGTGTTATCTTGTTGTCTTTCTGAACCTGTACTTAGAGAATTTAGGATCCCTTTTGAAAAATCTACAAGTTGGCTCATCTCACAACAACAATTGGTAACCTATATGACTCCATACAATATGCTGCCATGAGTAGGGCAGATCTAAATACCCAGAATTGGGAAGGCCCCGTCCCCTCCATACCTTGGAGGGATTGATTGATTTTAGCAACCAAGACAAACTGGTGCTGCGCCTGGTGAGAATAAATGACCTAGCTGATCATACCTTGAAGTCAGGAAGGAGGAAGTGGAGACGGCGGCTCAGATCTACGGCTTGGCGTCACCAGAACCCACGACCAGACGCTACGCAGTCCCCTGCCGCACGGTCCCCAGAGCCCCCGCGGGCGCACACGACGCCGCGTTGGCTGCCGGAGTCCGGCCTTCCATACCGGCGGCGTCGCAGCACGGACGGGATGGCTGGCCTCGCGAAACGAAGAGATCTGACATCACCGCCGCTCAGGGGCGCGGGTCTGCGCCAAGGGTCGGGCCTCCTCATCGCCGTCATTCTCGAGCGGTCGTGGTGGGAGATTGAGGAGCGTTGAGACAAGGGGAGAAGGAATGGGAGGAGGTGGCGTGCACGAGTGGGAAAGGAAGAGAGGAGGAGACGTGTGTGCGAAGGCGAAAGAGACGACAGCGCCCAAAGGAGACAAATAAACAATGCCAATACGCCACGCTGACATCGCTCGGCACGAGCCAGAGGTACATCCCACCTACACGCACTCAACTCGGGTGTGCACGACGCCTCCAACGCCCCATGCATACAACCAACCGGTGCCTTCCAGCTAGCGACGCACTACACCAGGAACTGGTCCGATGAAGCCGATTGGCCAGGCGCATCTCTCTCTCCCGATTGGCTCTCATAACAGTTCGCCCAATGAAACAGTGCTTCCTGCCAATGTGGACGTTGCGAGGGTGCGTCCTTTACGCCACGGTTAATGGGTTTGATGCCAGCTTTGTGGAGAGCATGAACGCTGCCAGCATGGGGTGGTTGCCAGAGATCATACGGGCCAAGTCATCCTTTCTTCTTGGGATTTTATTGCCATGCACGTGTGTTGATGAAGCGGAGATTCGTGCGTGCCTTGCTGGGTTCTATGTTGGTATCAGTCTCAATAAACCCGTTATTGTAGAATTTGATATCTCTTTTCTGGTCTCCTTTCTTGCAGACGATTTTCTTGACGGGTCCCCTTTTGTTGATATTAAGAGGGAAGCATGAAGCATTATGATGCTTATGCATAATTTCAAGATCAATTGCCACGCTAACATGGCGGCTCATGAGATTGCTAAATTTAGTTTTGACAATAGGTCGGGCGGTATTCTTAAAGATGGAATAAGGTTTTCCCTGCCAAGACCCCGTGTCGGCGGTGCTTTTTTGCATTGTTGGAGGACAGATGAAGGTTTGTCTCCGGCAAATCTCACAGGATTTGGTTGGCGTTTGTTTTTGTTCGTTCGTGTGTCTACAGGTTAGATCATTTCGATCTACGCTTCTCTTCATCGGTGACGGGTTGTTGTTCTGGTACGCTAATCCTGTAGGGCATTAACACGACGACTTCTTGACTGTTTGCTACAACAAGGTTTGACCAACTCCGATATGGGAGAGCAATGACGGTGACGCGTCTTCGACTCATTTTAGTGTTTGTAGTCGTCGCTAGGTGGTCTCCGGACATGAATGCGATTTTTACTTTTGATGTGCTTTATACTCCCTTAATAGTTGATGAATAGATTTGAAGATTTTCTCAAAAAAATTTAAAAAAATTCTTAAGATGTTGCGCTGACCCATCTCAAAGGTGCTTATAGGATAAAAAATATATATTATCATACTACTCTCTCCGTTCTACAATGTAGTGCGTCCACGCATCCCAAGATTTAAATTTAACCGTAAATTTAACCAACAAGTCCGATTGCGGCGGGAGCAAAAATTATACCACTGAATTCATATTTCAATATTAATTAAGTGGTATAATTTTTATTCCCACCGCAGTTGGTCTCGTTTGATAAATATACAGTCAAAGTTAGATCTCAAAACGAATGCACTACATTGTGGTTGTGGAATGTATAGCTGGCCAAATGTGCCGGGCCAAACAGCCGGCCCGCGAGCACGCCGGCACGGCCCACCATGGGCCAGGCACGGCACGGGCTAAACGGGCCGTGCCCGGCACGCGGCACGCCTTGGGCCGTGCCTGGGCCCGGAGCCTGGGCACGCGGGCCGGCACGGCACGGCCTATTTATTTTTTATATATATATTTCAGAATTTTTTTTATAAATGTATACGTAAAATATAGCCCAATAGGTTGAAAATATGCAGCTCAGCGTGCTAAACGGGCCATCAGGCCGGCCTGTTTACTAATTAGGCTGTGCCTGGGCCAAGGAGCAGCGCCCGTGGGCCGGCACACGGCCCAGCTATTAAACATGCCACGGCGGGCCGTGCCGGGCCAGGCACGATTAGCACAGGCTGGACCGTGCCGGGCCGGGCCGGCCCGTTTGGCCAGGTATGGTGGAATGGAGAGAGTATATTTGATCTCATGGGCATTTAGCTACGTAGAGTCGGTCTTCTTTTCATACGGAGCCCGACCCAAACGGATCCACCGACCGACCGAACCAGCTCCCTCAAAAAAAAAAAAAACTCCCCCGTCTCGTCCTGCACCGATGTGCAGCCACTCCGGCGGGCGGCGGCGTTGCACGGCGACTCCAGCGGCTCCGGAGGCGCGGAGTCCCCAGCCACCAGGAAGCAACCGCAGGAGGCTCGGCTACTCCGGCACTACAGGCGCCGCTATTGCCCCAGCAGCACGGGCCCGGCGGCGAATCTGGCAAGCACGTGTGCCGCACCTCCGGCGACTAGGTAACCGATTCTACCCACCGATTGCATTTTTCCTTTCAATTTCGCTCCAGCCTTGGCTCGCTCCGCTAACCCTAGCTTTGCACTCGTATCTGTTCCAGTGTTCCTGTCCGACCAAACGGATGATGAGGCTCCCTCTGACTGGAAGTCCAGAATGTGGACGAGAAGAATTGAGCCTGAAGCAGTCGGCTCCAAAAGGACTCCCTCTGACTGGATGTCCAGAATGTGGAAGAGAATGGTGAAGCAGTCAGCGACATCTCTGAATCCGGGCAAATATTCAGTGGAATGCCCAAGGAATGGCAAGGATATGAAGGTGCTTCTCTGTTCTTTAATGTTCAGAGCCAAGTCGTATGTCATATGACTGATGTCTGGTTCAAGCAACTTACTGACTTCGGTATGTTTGGACAGGTGAAAGACTGGCGTTTCTTCATGTGGCTGGACAAGTACTTGGACATGGTCGAGGAAATTTGGATGATAAATGTGCTCATCATGGGCAATGCATCTGCTCGCTGCGTGTCACGAGAAATTCAGCGACGTATTGATGCTACGAGGGCTGAAAATGATGCTACAAGAGCCTAAATTGATGCTACAAGAGCTCAAATTGATGCTATTAGGGTTGAGACTGCAGCACTGGATCAACGCATCGAGAAGTTGGCCGCCCAAAATGCAAAGCTTCAGGTTTTAGTGTACTTTCTTTTCGTCATTCTTCTTCTAGTGTTGCTAGTGAAGCTAGTGAAGTAGAATGTCTGTGCAATTGATCGTGGTCGCCATCCTGTATGAGACTGTGCTTATTCTGTCGAATGGGACGAACATGTCAGGCTGGTTGGTTCTGTTGAGATATATAGAGTTTGGAGAGATTGCAAGTTTACCAAGGGGCAAGACCTTCATTTCACGTGGCATTACTAGGCTCAGAATTTTGAAATTATTCAAGTAATTAGACATGGAAAATGACCAAGAAGGCAAAGAAAACTAGGGCATATGATCTATGGAGAACTAAAATAGGGCATATAATCCCCTGCCAAAATAAAATAAAATAAGGGCATATGATCAAATCTCCCAGAAAGCTTCCACACCATTATCCCAGATGGCTTTGGGAAAAGATAAATTCAGTGGCAAAATAATTAAGCAACAAATTGACTGATTCCATACTCTCAACAATAACAAAAAATGAGCAAATTGGTACTTGGCATGTATTAACAAGCTAGTTGTCAAATTGAAATGTCGCTTCATTTATCAACAAAATATGTTATTACAAGGCCCTTCTAAGTTCAAACATACAGATGTGGTCCGTGAGGACCCCTAGTTTCCTATTTATTGAAATGCATGCTCCAATGGCATTTAGATAGCTGTATTGTCTTGCTGTTCAAGTTTTCTTTTTCTTCCAGATTCTAGCGGATCCCATTAATTTGACAAGCCGAATAACGAGAGTGCTCTAAAATTGATAAATGCTTCTGCTTCTCTGATGATGGAGCGATTCCCTGATATCACCTTTGGCTATGGTTTTAGCAACTAGTACAGGTAGGATATACCCCGTCAGAATCACTGTTTTTGCAAGGAGAAATCTATGAAAAAGACATGTGTTTCCACATGGCACAAATTTCCCTCTTCTCATCAGCAGAAGTGATTTGATTGAATTTATTGGAATGATAAGATATCTTGTTAAAACCACAATAAGTTAACCATTCAATGAAGCTGTAAATGTGAACCTGGGACACTTAATTTAAGCAGGTGTTTTTATGTTTGTTGGATGGCAAACCTGTGCGTTTGTTGCAAATGATTGTATTTATTTTTTGTTATTGTTGCAGCTTTGTGTTCCAGGAGACCACTGAATTGTAGCAGAGAGATGAGAGGTACTTATATAGTTTTATGAATTTCTGCAGTTCGTGTGGTCAAGCCTTTGATAAGACACGCGGCTTCTTATGCAGATTAAACCTGTCTTCATGTTCATGTTTCCTTCAACCGGCTGCTACCACTACATCTCCTGTGTTGGATGTCACGTGGAGTTGTTTTGAAGAAAACTGGACTAAAAGCCAGTTCAACTGGGTTAGGGATGGGGGTGATTTTGGGTTTAGCGAGTTTGAGGTTGTGACAACTCAAGTATAGGGGGACAATGCGGACTTCTCTCTTCCAACAAGAATGAGAAGAAGATGGTTTCTCTGCTAATGGCCTAGAGTGCAGTGCTGTTGGGGCCAGAACCGGAAATGATATGTTTTGAAACGACACGAGAGAACGGATAATGCGAGGTCGGGCCTAGTTTAGCTCTCCCGTACTTTTTTTTTGGGAGCAAAAAGCTCTCCCGTACGTACGTAACGAGGGCCTTTTTATTTCACGCGCGCCTCGAGTTGGGCCTCGCACGCATGCCGGCCCATGCGGGCGAGCGCATCGTGGTTCCCAGTTTCGATTTGTCCCACATCGCCCGTCGTCGGACGGCGCCTCCAGTTTTTATAGTGCGTTGGCTATCACGGTGTCACCTCCACGGGGACAACAGACTGAGAGAAAAAAAAAGACCTTAGTGCCCAAAAAAGAGAGAAAAAGAGGCCTTAGAGCCCAAGGACAAAGAGGAAAAGAGGCCTTAGTGCCCAATAAAAGGAAAAGGAGGCCAGAGCCGAAAAATCCCCAAGGCCTGTGCCCACACCAGAAGAGAAAAAACAGTGTACCCATGGAAGGTTGTGCTAGACATTAGCACATGGCTTTTTTGTAGTTTTTGAACCCTGCGTCCATGTTTTTTTTAAATATTTCAACTCTTACTTGCCTTTCCCCCCTAATATATAATATACTTCTTCCATTTCTAAATGTAAGTCTTTTTTCTCCAACTGGCGGCATCAACCTCTAAAAAAAGAAAAGGAGGCCATGGCTTTTTTGTAGTTTTTGAACCCTGCGTCCATGTTTTTTTTAAATATTTCAACTCTTACTTGCCTTTCCCCCCTGAATATATAATATAC